AGATAGGGTATGAGTTGGAATTATGATGGGTAAGTGAAAAAAAAAAAAGGAACCTTCATCTTTTATTAGATTTTCGAAATAGGTCCGACGACCCTTCACACCACGAAAGGATGTGAGACATAGTAGCAATCTACACCAGCCGCCCAGGTGTCAGCGACGGTGGAAGGGGGCTTGCGGATTACCGTGTGGATTACGGGTAAATCACACTTCGGTCATGCAATTTTGACGGCGTCTGGTGGAGAAGGAAAAAGTGTGAAACAAGACACACTCTGATCCTCATCGTTTTTGCAACTACTGGCACTTATGAGGCATCGTATTTCGCCCAAGAATTTCTATAGATCGAGTGCTTGCTTCGTCGTCTATGATTTTTGGGTTTTTTGGATCGATAATCTTCGTTTACCTCGACTTCTCCACTTGTGGCGGAACGTGAGTAACGACGGCTTGATGAAATCAATACTTCATCATTTCTTCAGCTTACCTCGCGCACATTTCTGTGGTCCATGATGGAACAGATTGTTTTGAACTCAATAATGACGTAAGGGTTGCTCCCATATTCGTCGCACGAACGTATGTTACAACATACACTGGCGTACATATCTTGAGAATGAGATAAACAATAGCTTAACTCATTAATAAGCTAATGGCATTGGTGATACTTCTCAAGCATGATGCTATCAGCCTCAAGGTCGTGCACAGTACACTGGACTCCAACATATGCAGTCGGTGTGAAGAGCACCCACGCAACATTACGGAAATTGTGGAAGGCATAGAAGTTAGTGTATTATTAGTGAGGAGTTACTATGGGCTGTCGTGACGTTTTTCACTACAGCGAGTCTCAGAGCTAACATATGAACCACCAAAGAAGAGAAGGTGATGGATCACGAAGAAACGCAACAGTAGGTGATCATTACGTTGCTACAGGGAAAATGGGCGCACGTCAGTCGCTTGCTGCAAAAGCAAAAGCATTTATGAGGATTGTAAGGCGCGCAATTCCAGCTTGAACAGGGGCACGTCGACCACTTACGATTAGGGATAGTATCTCTGCCCGACGACCAATCCCTGGTACTTCATTGAAACCGCTGCATCAGGAAGAACATTTGTTAGACTTTAAGACATGATCAAGAGCAAATGGGTGTGTGTGTGTGGTGATTGAGAGCTCACTCGCCTGTTCCACCCAAATCCACTGTTGAACATGATTGCTTCAATAGTACCGGCGATCTCCTGTGGGAAGGAAATTGGCCGGTGCGGTACCGAATTCCAGCCTTGTGATCGCGACGCATCCCGGCCAGCGCCACTGTAATGGCAAACTCCTCCCTAGTAAGCGTCACATTAGGAGTACGTTCGACCTCAATTTCATCGAGGGCAATGTGCGAGAGCATCGAAAAGCTAAAGTGGAAAACTCGTAGAATGGGAAGATTTTGGTTTGGTGGTTTAACCTGCCCGCACCCCGAACAAGTCCGATCAAGCACGTGTGGGATGATTTCAGGAGAGCTATTGCAGCACACGCACATGTGTCAATAGTTGTCCAGCAATTGTCAATTGCGGTGCTCGGTGAAGGGAACAAGTCGCGAACAGGCACCCGGTCCGTAGCGACTGCACCCGCGTGTGGAGCGCTCAACCGCACGCTCCGGGACCTTTTGGGCCCAAGAGCTCCATCGAAACCTTACTGGTTTGGCTTTTTTTTATTTTGTTTAAAACCACTCACGAAGCTAGCTTTTAGAAATTTCTTCCTTGCTTGCCTTAATTTTCCCCCATCGGAACTTAACGCGAAACTCAAAGGTGAAACAGAAGCGGGATACGCGCTTCCAACCGCGTTCAATCCATTTCCAAAAATGACAAGGTTCCCAGCGCTGTACTGTTAACTATACATATAGGACACCTGGGTCTTGTTTTGAGCATCCCTTTCCCTACAGCTGCCCCCACCGTCTGATATAATTGATTCCATACACAACAGTGCAGATAGTGCTTCAAAATTTTACAGCGATTCCATTTTTTCTCGCTACATGCCGAGGGGAGATTCCGAGAATCTTGTTGCTGCTGGATCTCTAAAGAAGCTTGCCGTTAACAGAGGAGTATACCAGGCATAGAGTTGTTTGGACATTTCTCTATCGCCCACATGGCACACACTGTATTAATAATTCGAGCCTCCGAGATGAATCTTATGGCACAGCTTTCCAATGTGGGCTTTTGTTTTGATTTTGTATTTTATATTACTAATGAGCATTTTTTGAAAATAACGGAGATAATCGTGGTGGTCTGCACAGAACATCAAATTGATTGCAACCTGTTGTCAGAGAACTCGGATTTAAAAGGAAAGTGAATTGCATGGCAAATGAATTGAGTCGCTGGTCGCAGTCGACCCTGCGTCAGTGGCACTCTGTTGATGCGACCAAGTGAGGCTACGTACGTCCCCCGCAGCTCGTTTGCCTTATTGTATTCTTGAAGGACCACTAGCTAATTCCTTCAGACAGGTATTTTCGAACAGCGATTCACATTCGTCCTCAATGAGATCCTGCTCTTTGCCGACGTGACCGTACGCCGACCGTCCCCTATATTGCTTGTTTTTTCGATTACTTTTTCGTTGATGTCGGAACTTCGTATTGATTTCTAATTCACTGTCAGTCAGACAACAATGCATGGTCACATATCTCCACGGTCATCCCTGATTCATTACTCCGCAATCCGCTGCGCGTCCAAATGCAATGTCATCGACAGTGATCCGACCCGCGTGACAGCACTACGTAGCGCCCACGTTCATTACGCTCTCCTATTCCAATCTATTCTCTCATCATTCGACCTTGCCATTTGTTTCTAATTGCCCAAAGATGTAATGGACGACCATGAGAGACGAGTCTTGTGCTGCTATTTTGGTAATAACTGCTTGCTTACACTGTCAATTCCACAGCCCATTCATATGTGCGCGTCACGACAGATCTTTTTGACACGTCCCCAAATTTTGCGATCCCATGATGATCGAATCTGTTTCCTAATTACTCACTTTTTTTACTTTTTACTTTTTTTTTACTCTGGACCAATGCAACGTATACCACTAGCATTAAGATTCCGAGGGTTTTTTGATCATCACATGGACCTGCAAGTCCCATGGAGATTATGGTAATTAGCCAACAAAAAAGGTCTTTCAAGGCAGGCCGCGCTGTTTTGGTACGGTTCTGTGCACATTGTAGGGACGTATGTATAGATCAAATTTCCGCTGAACGGTTTTAATGGTAGCCCGACACTCTAACCATTCCTAATTCTAGTCCTAACCATGGGAATGTAGTCTGATTTTGGCATTTAGCAACATTCGGTAACAGCTCGTGTGCGGAAACCCAAATGCAAAATTTAGTCGCCACCGGGGACCGAACCATTGACCTTGCCTCTTTGGCACTGCTAAAAACGTTCAGAAGATGAAACATAGTTTTGTGCTTTCTACATAGGTCTCTGCAATATGCAATAAACCATTTGAAAAAAATGCGGCTTGCCCTGAAAGACCCCTTGTTAGGTCTGCCAAGTGAGGGAAAATGGCCATTTTGATGCAGCCCACTCAGTCTCTCAGGGACATGGCAAACATCTTTCTCGTATTATAGTTTAGAAGAGAATTCATTTTTTATTTTCTTTTCTGTTTAGAGGAATTGCTTAACCATTGCGAAGTTCTTTTGATCTCACAAAGTTGGGATTACCGTAATCGCACGAATCACAGCACCTACCTCCTTTTTGGGATAAACCCGCCAGCTTTTTTGCATGATGTCTGGTTTTCCCTGTCTACTGTAACCGATATGCAAATTCTGCCGTTTTAATTGAGGGCGGTAGCTACCATAGCAAAAGAATGAATGTGATGTTGAGCTGTCTAACTCACCCATTTGATGTAAACTTTATTGGTCCAGACACCGAAACTTTTTATTTTTATTCTGACAATATGGAAACAATTTGGCTCGAGGTACCCTGCTTTAGTGTCTCACAATGTCACCGCAAACGACTTTTCTATTAGGACCAATCCACAGTGAGACATGTGTCACTCCGACTTTTGCTTCGAAAAATTATGGAAAAGTACAAGATAAATTATCCCCAGCTGATTTTAGAAATAGTATCCGCCGATTATTACCTCAAGAAGTGTGCTCTCTTTATCTTACCAGATTAGTCCCCCGTCAACCGCCGGGACCTTCCTTTCCTGCGCAAGCTTTCTATCCTCCGCTATGGTCCCTTCCTCCTGTGACACCCAACTCCTGGAAGTGACGCGTATGCAACACAATGGTGTTTCATACAGTAGAAGGGACACAATCATGATATGACGGTAGATTTTTCGCTTCCCCTCATCCTCCCTTCCTCTCTCCACTGCCCTCCAGCTGCCACTGCAGCACCATGTGGAATGAACGGAAGTGTGCTAAGCAGGTGTTTATATAGCCCTAAGAGTGTTATCACAACTATCCTGCTACAAAACATTGATATCTCAAATCCTGTAAGCTACCCGATTTGTTAGCGGTTTGTTTATCCCATGAGCTTCCTTCTCACTCACTTCATTTTGCGGACGGACACACATACATACACACACACACACACACACACACACACACAGATACACAAACCGACACACAAAGTTAGCGCTTTATAAAATAGAAGGATAATGTTAGAAAGACTTATTTACACTGATAACCATAGTGACCGTTGCGGTAAAGTACTTACGGCGCAATCTGTTATAAACCTACAGTAATTCCGGAGTACTTTGAGAACATTCCGATTCACGTCGACGCTAGATCCTTTACAAAAATTATTCATTTGGACTTAGATCACAATATTGCTCCTTTGAACTAAGCCTGCTTTCTCGAGTATGGATGCGTCCTTTTTCCTTGTTCAATTTTCTAGGCGTGGCTTTTCGCTAAGCAGCCACTTTCTTTCGGAATCGATGAGGATGTTCGAAACAGATCAACTATATAAAATTACCCCATTTTATGTGGCCATCACATAAAATGGGGCAATTTTATATAGTTTATCAGTTTTATTGAATGTCCAGAAAGTATGCACATAGGATGCGACCCGTTATTGGTACCGCTGCTTCCCAAACGTCGTTCGAAATTCCTACAAACCCAACCGAATACACTTGGAACCAGAGTTGCTTCCTTCCATTCCTTATTTTCTTTGCGCAACTCCAAGATCTAAGAGATCTCAGCTTTAAGGTAGTTATCACGATCACCGCTAAATGTGAACGCTGGCTCTTTCACAGGGCGAAAATGCGAGATTTTGAACGAATATTCATCTGACAATAACGAACATATTTGGCGTTGTGCAAAGCGACAGCTGGTCAAAACATTCAAATGAATTCTTTTGAAAGAACAAATCCGTGGGAATCTTTTCTTCCAAAATATCGTCGCGAACATTTTGCGTGCACGTGAGCTTCCAGATTATTTTTGAAATTAAGCGAGCATGACAACCTACGGCAACAAAAATTTCTACACTAAAATTGGTTGCAGTTTACGTTGAAGTTACCGAGTCGAGATATTGTCTTGTCACAACTTTTTCCGATGGTGTCCGAAAAATATTTCCGAACATGCTAGTGGTTGGGAACCAAGTAATTCTTGCTTTCCTACTGTACTGAATTTGAACTGTATGTTTGCTTGAGATTATTCGAATATAACCCTTTCACTTGCTCTCGTTTTGAATAGCGCCATGCACGCCCCTCCCCTCCCTGGTACAAGGTTACCTCTTGGTTGTGGCTAACAGGAGCCAGCTATTGTGATCCTCATTTTGTTTTGATGGGAGCACAGATATGATCCAGTCTATCTGTTGAACTGCTCAACATGCGCCTCAGCGCTTACGACGCCCTCTCGGTTGGCCAAATGTGTACTTTTAAATTTTGAACGAACGTATCTGCTTATGAGTCTGCGTTTGCAGTACTGGTTCTAGCACCTTTTCAGGGCATTTTGGCTTAAGACTCCGCTGTATTTGGAAATCCAGAAAACAGAAACTAGCTATACATTTACATTATTTATAATCCATACTTTTGCATTTCTGTTAATGCAATCTGTCTATTCACACGATTCCTTTACCATATGCTCTATGACATGCACAGCTGTGAGAACATGTTGAACGAGTTTCTACTAACTGCATTAGCAAAGATAACACAATGTTTAGACGAGATTTTCCGTAGGACCTTCACTATACTTTATTCCTACTCCATCTTACAGGTTCTTGTCGTTACCTTCTTACTCCAACATCCTGCCGGCGTCTTTTAGTACTTCTCCATTCTCGCTGATTCTGTTTCGATCATTGTTTGTCTTCAAAGTAGAAGAGTGGCGCGACGTTCATGAACGAGCTAGAGAAGCGAAAATTGTCTTCAAAATGGCTTGGCTATCATTACAGCGTTCTCTCCGTCTGTAATTTCAACACGACTGTTGGGTGCTTGAGATCACTGAGCTCCTGGAAGCGCTCGCTGTAGAAGTTCTAGAACAGAGTTCCGTTCAGAATTAACTCACTCTAACAAAACGCATCCGCATCACCAGATCTTTCGTTGATTTGAGGTCATAGGTCTAATTGTCTGATTCGTCCAAAATAGCGGAGTTTAGCGAATTAGTGTTAACCATCTTTTGCTATCACTACGGTAACTATGTATTGCCACTAAAAGCGTGCGGCCACCTCTACCAGCTGTTTCGTTAATATTCTGTTTGGATGTTCAGGCCAATGTAGAATTCTTCTTATTTTTCACAGGAACATTTGCAGCGTGTTACTATTAGACTTTGCTCGTGAGTATACCGTGTAATACAGGTGATTAGCCCTTGCGTAAGGATAAAGAAATCGAAATAGATGTTCATGTAGCGGGTAGTCTTGCAGAACCATGTTCATTTTGCACGTGTTCTTGAAACGGCTTCTAAAACTTTTGTTTGATTGGCGTCCTGCATTTCGATCTGAATAGCTTCATGTTATTTTTTCACCTTTTTCAATTTCTCATAAATATAGACAAAGACATTACATACTTACATTATAACATTTTATTCTCATTTCAATACTTGCTTGGACCCATTATCATGAAAGCTGGTACTTATTTATTTATTTATTTATTTATTTATTTTTTTATTGGGAACGTAGGCAAGTCTACGCGAAATAGGCAGACAAAACGTACAGAAAACCAAGAAACACAAACGGCGCAAAGAAAGTGGCATAATTCATGTGCTGAAGCGAAACAAAACAACAACCTTTAACTGCTGAACTAAATGTATCACCCACAATTCCCAAAAGTAAGAATCAAGAGACCCCTGACATAAAAAGGTTAATAAATTGCCGGCTAACCATATGCTTTAGAGGCCAGCCTTTTGAATTGGCTAAGAGACAATAGCGCATCTTTACGAAATAACTTGTTCGAAAGGAGTGAGAGTCCTAACAGGAAAACTATTGAACCTGGCCTGAGTTTTAGAAACCGGAATCTTGAGCTTGATACTACCTCTCCTAGTGTTTCCTCTAACAACCTCAAAGAAGTCTGAGGAGCGCAAACTCACTCTCCGGTCAATATCTTAAACGCCATTAGCAACTCATCAATAATCTTCTTCTTCTCCTTAGCGTTAGTCCCGCGCAGTCGCAGGGTCCGCTGTCTTTGTCAGTCGTCGCCACTTCGCTCTGTCTAGGGCATCTCCTGCAGTGGCCGTGATTTCACTAGGTCCTTCTTGATCACATCCTTCCACCTCTTCTTTGGGGCTCCTCGCGGTCGCTTGCCTTGCACTTCGAAGTCCATCGCATTCCTTATCGGGTGGCCTTGCGGTCTTCTCAGCACATGTCCATACCACCGCAGTCGTTGCTCCCTCACCTTCAGCTGGACAGGGGCAGTCTGCATGACCGCTCTGACATCCTCGTTCCTGACCCTGTCCAGTCGCGTCCAGCCGCAGGCCCATCTCAGCATCCTCATCTCAGCGGAGTGAAGCTGCCTTTCGTGATTCTTGTTCAGGGGCCAGCACTCGCTGCCGTAGAGCATCGCAGGCCTTACCACTGTCCGGTACACCTTCCCTTTGAGCGCTCTGGAGCACCTTCGATCGCAGAGGATTCCAGTGGACTCCCTCCATTTCATCCATGCCGCGTTGATCCTCCCCTTTACTGCCTGGTCCACACTGCCGTCGGCCGCCAGATCACTCCCAAGGTATCGGAAGTCCTCCACTCTTTCGATGCTTTCACCATGCCGTCCACGATCGGCTCTGCACCCTCTTCAGAGCTCAGGAACTTGGTCTTCTTGACATTCAGCCGTAGCCCGCCTTCTGCCAGGACCTTCTGCCATTGCTGCACCTTGGCCTGTAGTTCCTCTCTACTATCCGCTATCAGGGCGATGTCGTCAGCGTAGAGGATGGTCTTTAGCGGTCCTTCCATGAGCCCTTCACCAGGACATCTAGTGTTAGGAGGAAGAGGAACGGGCTCAGAGCTGACCCTTGGTGCACCCCAACCGTGATGTCCACTTCCTTCGTTAGGCCGTGTGGGGTGCGTATAGCTGCCTTCGCCCCATCGTACATATCCTTCACCAGCGAGACCAGGTGTTCTGGCACGTTCCGTTCCCTAGCGCTCTCCATAGTACCGCTCGTGGTAGCCGGTCGAACGCCTTCTCCAGGTCGAGGAAGGCTAGGTAGCAGGGTCGGCGCTTTTCTCGATACTTCTCCATCACTTGCCTTGCGATGAAGATGGCATCCGTGTGTACCTTTCGGGCATGAACCCGAACTGTTCCTGGGAGATCGGGACCAGCTCCCGCAGTTCGAGTCGACCAGTCGCTCGTACAGCTTCATTGTATGAGCAGTCAACTTGATCCCGCGGTAGTTGGAGCAGTCCATCGCGTCACCCTTCTGCTTGAAGATGGGGACGATAGTGCTTGTTCTCCAGGCATCTGGCATCCTTCCTTCCGCAGTTATGTTGTTGAGGAATCGTGTGAGCCATCTTATCCCGTACTCTCCGAGCGCCTTCCATGCCTCGATTGGCACCCCATCTGGACCAACCGCCTTCCCAACCTTCATCCTCCCAAGTGCACACCTAACCTCATCCTCAGTCCAGAGTGCGATGGGACCAGCTGTGGCCTCTGCCCGTGAGTTGTTCTCGTGGGGGAACTCCTCGTTCAGAAGTGCACTGTAGTACTCTCCCACCTCCTCTTGACTTCGGCTGGCTTCCTTAGGATGACACCATCGCTGCCTTTCACACTTTTCACCACCCTGATGTCTTGGGTAGCCCGATGCCGGGCTTTAGCCAGTCTGAAGACGAACTTCTCTGCGTTTCTGCTTTCCAACTTCTCGTACAAGGCGTCCATTCTCCGTGTTCTTCGCCTTGGCTACGGCGGCCTTAGCGAGCGCAGCAACTCCTCAATAATACGCCTGGAAGAAAATCTTCTGAGCCCTACTTGATCCCTTCTGTCGGTGCCATTGGCTGTTACTAACAGACCGCTGGAACCTATGGTTACATGGAAAATATAGGTGTATACTACTACTTAAATTTTGTAGCAGTTTCAGAAAGTGGGAGCGAATTTCAGGAACTTCTCCAGGGTTGGAACATAGCAGAACTCCTCTGCTGGTGTACTGGAAGCGGAGCCACCGCTACTTATCAATATGGGTATCGCCTATCATAATAAGTAAAAGGCTGCTCAATTTGTAGTACCTATAAACCTAAAATGTTTTCGATAGTTGACACTAGCGAATGAACCACCTTGACCAGCCTCGATTAATAGGCTATTTACCACCTCAAAGTTTTTCTGAAGCACGATCAAACTGTTGTGATCACTAGCAGAGATGCGATTCCAATGCAACCCAGTCCTATCTTGTTAATCGGTCAAGCACCTTCTTTCTTATAATTCCAGACATATTAGAGACAGTTTGAAGTTTTGTGCGTTAAATAGGGAATGCACAGGAAGGAAACGGAAGAGGGTCATTGCGAATTGTACAGTGCATTCCCATCCAGTGTTCACTATAAAGCACAGCAAATGTCGTGAAAGCGACGACGCCATCGCTGCACTTCGTATAACTTCGTATGTTCGCGCCCCCGCTTACGCCCTTGGCCCGTGACAGATTCGCGGATCGAGCGATTTGTGAGCGAATTGAGCGACTTGCTCTCATTCACAAGGTCTAACACCGGCCTTGCTCAGTGCCCTTTTTCTTCGGCAGCATCATCTCCACTCAGGTTTTGCCAACCATTCCATTTCCATCACCATTGCGAACCCTCCGACCAATGACATACGCGCTGCGTTGGAAGGTGACCTTGGGACACTCACACTCGAGAGAATACGCCGCATTTCGCACTGCTATCAAGGACTGTCCATAAGTTAAAATGTGGGTTATGATAAAGTTGTATTCCATAGAAGAGATAATTCATATCGTTCATCCATTTTCCTTACTCATCGAAATTGCGCATGATCTTTTCACTTCCATTGATATGTTTCATGGGGAACAGGCCACAGAGAGTTAGAGACGCTAAGAAAGGAAGTATCTGTATGAAGAGCTAGCAGGTAAAGGCCTTTTTGGCAAAGGTACTATGTGAGATAGCGCCGGCTAAAGCTTTCACATTCCGTTCAAAGGATCGGTTGACATATCCACGTGAACGCAACTTTTTCGCTCGGTGCCTCGTAGTAAACGCTATGGTCTATATGCCATTTGGCCGGGACCTGAAGAATTTCCTTTGCAATCTCTCTGCCACTTTCACAACCCCATCACGTGGCCTACATGAGGAAAATGCCGCTCTTTCAGTCAGAACACATCCTTGATTTGAGTCGCTCGTTCACTCTTTCCGAGAAGCTATGGTGATAGTCCCATTGGACTCTCACAAGACATTATCACTATGGCTGCCAATCATTTTGCTTGGCTGGATAAGCTGATCAAAAGCAGAATGAGGGGAATGGAGGAATACCTTTTCTCCTTGAGGTTGCTTGCACACCCACATCTAAAACAGTCGCTGTCTAAAAAGGCCGAACTGAGCTCAGGGAAGAATTTCAAGCACTGTACCCCTTTCCAATGACCCAATCTTATAATACATTATAATAAACAGGGTGCAAAAATTAATTGGGTGTCGACAATGTGATTCCGCTCCTAGGCATAGCTCATTGCAGCTCAACAAAAAGCTATCGAATACCACCGGAGCTTCTTCAACAATAATCGCAAATAGCGTCTTTATTGCGGGCCGGATACCCGCCTGAGACCACAATGGTAAAGAGGCCCAAAAATATGCATGTCGGTGGATAAACAATCGACATATGAGTTTGAATACATCATGATGGATGAATACATAATCTAATAACTCTACATCTAGGTTCAACTGCATGTTTTTCTTAAGAGCCAGTGTTAGCATTCGGAAAGACTTCTGCTCTGCAGTATTTCACTTGCCATTTTCTTCAGTATTAACACGTTGACGACTGCCGTTGTGCGTGTACTACTTGAACATTTTTCGTATTCTCTCATCACTAGGCATTAATCCTTCAGCATTTTTCATTATCAGTATGAGAAAAATTGTTTTTTCGGGTCCAATAATGTACATGGACTGTTGTGGAACAGGAATAAACGCCAAATAAATTCAAGAACTAGTCGTTCCATCTGAAAGTGTGGTATGACATTATAGCACACGGTCGTCAACGTGTAAGAGTGTATTCAGACGAACTTACAGATGGAAAATAGGAGACAAAATCTGCCCTATTCAACAAATGCCATTTATAATAACCTTCAATGACAAAAACTACCAAAGCTGAAAGTTCTTCCGAATACCAGTCGTGAATCAATTGGCCTTCCTCTAACGCTCCCCCCACTCCTCTCTCTCCTCTTCCCCCCATTTTCATCGGCCCACCCTGCATCCGTGCAAACCTTAAATCCATGCAGCAACTTTGAGGCCCTCTAGGCTCACGCGTCTTTTTCATTCCAACTTCTCGTGCAATTCGCACCCAAAACTGGACTCCAAATCGCACTAATCGGTGCAACGACAATATCCGCCGCACTCAGTTTCTGCTATTCTTCCATGCACCCTCTCCAAACTGATTCCGTCGTTGCACATAGCAAGCGCCACTGATCGGTATACCTCCAGCACCATATTCTCGCTATTTAATCTTCCAGAACTGGCTGCGGCAGCAGGATTGCCACGAACCGACACACGTCCCCACAACTCTTACCCACCCGCCTCGTCCACGACTTCGTGAGTTTTTACTTGTCCTTGTATAAATGCATACTTTTCATTCTTGCTTTTGTGATTGTGTACCAGGTTTGGTAAGTTGCTTCTGGACCTGTCTTTTTGATTTTTTTCTTTACTTCTATCTTTTTTTTACTTGTACTTTTTACTTTTTTGACTTTTATTCATTCAGTGGCTACCATATTAATTTCAATTGAAATTTTGAATCTGACCCTCATTTGTTGACTTTTATGCTCTCCTTAGTGGTTTACGGAAGTACGTAAAGTCACTTGCCTCGACAAAGCTTCAATATTCACTTTACTACATCTCTTACTGTTATCCTTTTTGCGGAAATAATTGTCTCTTAGCGTTTCCCTGGGTTTTATTTATTTCAGTCCCACATCTTGTTTTCGGTTTTCCTGGTAGTTAGTTCATGTTTGAAGAATGAACCCGCCGCCCTCACTCCGCGACGACCACGTCCTCTTCTATACTCCTCTGTATCCTCGACGACAGTCTAGTCCCGCTCACCCTCCGCCAAAACACTCCCTCCCAATTATCCTGACCACGATTCGCGGTGAACAATTCGATTCATACGAACCACCTTGTGCAAGCCTCGCGACACCAACGTGATTGCTTGAGTTTACCCTTACTCGCGCCATCGTTGAACCCCTACACGCACACTAATCCGCAGCGCCGGACAGACGTAGCTGACAGCTAAAGTCTAGTTTCTTTCTTCCTCTCTACCGTACAGCTTGCTCCTACCGTCAACACTATCCACGAGCCACGCAGTCGCATCTAATTTTGTGCTTTATTTGGCTCCTACTCTTAGTGCATAGTGCGAAGAAAAGCGTTCGTGGGGCAAAAAGCAAAAAGAGCTACAGGAAATAGTGAAGCTTCTTCCGGGCTCTATTGTGCTACAACCAAACCAGAGAAACAGCGCTGCGAGTAGATGGAAAACCTGACAGTACGTCTTGCGCCGAGAGCGCGCGCCACGACGCCACGTCTGCTCCGCGCCATTTTAAACTTCCTAACTCCCTAAAACCCTTAAGATTCCGGAAGTTCTCCTATGAATCAGATTTTTTTCTGGCAACACGAAACGATACTTTGCTTAGCGATCCCTCGCCCTTTTTTGCTCTAATTGGAGCGAATTTCTTCCGTTCGCCCTACGCCACTCGCACACCCTCAAGGAACGAAGTAAACGAGCTTATTTTTTGAAATTCTACGATCCGGTGATCTCGTGCGAAATGCAATCAAAGTTGTAAATAATGACGAAGTGAACATCACTGATTAGTTTTATGTTTTTATTTTTTGCTTCAAATGTTTGTGTGAAGAAATGAAAAATGCAAGCGCTACGATATTATGCTCCAACCCAATGATTAAAAAATTGGCAAAAAAAAGAACAATTTTCAGCCCGTACCCATCACGTGAGATCTCCGGACCATGTCTACGATGAGCTGAAGAAGGTGTTGATCCTCGCTGGAGCATTCTTCTTCATCACAATTGTTTGCGTGATGTCAAAACTGCAGGTGAGACAAAAATACAATAGTTTATTAGCTGAAATGGAAATTCTACATACATTAGGTTGTCCCATAAGTAGTTTCGTTTTTGCTCAAACGGAAAATTTTCTTTCAAAATTCTGCGCAGTATATATTTAAAAACCTATGTGGGCGGAAGTGGTGTAGTGGCAAGTGGCACGCTTACCACGCGAGCGGTCCGGGGATCAAATCCTGGGTCGTGAGTCGCCCGGGCCAACCAAGCCTTCCATCCCTCCGGGGTCGGTTAATTGGTACCAGACTTGTCTGGGAGGATAAAAACACTGACTTGTACATCGGCTGGCCCCGCAAGTCATTGTATAGGCCACATCGCATTCAAACGCCACTACGAATGTACAAATGGAAGTAGAATGCGTGCCGCATCCCAAAAAGGGATTGATCAACGGCAAATGCTTTATCCTTTTTTCCTTTATATACCATTTGAAAGAGAATTGTCTGCTCTACAAAATGCTTTGTTCCGCTTCCACATTCTTCAGGGTTTTCAAATTTTAGGCCTGCGAAATGGGAGGTCCAGCCGACAAAAATTAGCCAAACCGACAACTAGCCCTAACTCTATTTTCCTCTAGGAGGATCAACCAATGATGAACCTCAACTTAGTCACGACCTCTTTTAACATTCCGCTATTAGATTAAAAAGCTTTGCCGTATTTCTTTTGAAATTTGGTTTTTCTGGTCGACCCATAAGGCATAGCGATTTTTGAACTGAAAATTTCCTCTAAAACAAAATTGTTTTACATAAGTGATATATCTTTCGAGAGCGCATTTCCTGCCCTATTCTCGCATTTGCTTTGTTTTCATTCGTTGTTAGTTGGGTGGAATTTTAGGCCTGAGTGATAAGGTGTTCATCCACGAAAATGACCACATTGCTTTGAGAAAAATCTTCCTGGAGAAGATGGG